GGTGGTGCTGATGACGCCGTCAGTTTGATGAGATGAATGCTGCTATCTCTTGGGCGACACACACCACGAATTAACGGAAATCAATGACGTCTTGAAGCCAACAGTCTACTCTAAGCTGCCAAATTATGCGGTGGCGCTCAAGATAAACCCCCTGAAAAATTAATCCCCTATTCTATGTATTTATTATGAAACACATCGTAACACGTCTACATTGAACGGTCGCAATTTACGAATCTCTCTCTCTCTCTCTCTCTCTCTCTCTCTCTCTCTCTCTCTCTCTCTCCTACATTTAACGGTCATAATTTACGAACTCACGATTCTTATCCCATTGCGGCACATCTCTATAAATATCACAGTATTCTCTTGTGCTGGGCGGCTTGGTTCCCGATTATTGAAAGCTAGGGATCGTAGGAATCGACTCCGAACCCAATTAGATCGACTTACTTTCTAATGATGTAATTTCGTCGGGTGGTTACTTGATTGGCTCCAAACATCTTCAGGATTTAGGATATCCTTGATCATGGAACTCTACGAAGCATCAACTTTTATTTTTCAAAAGTAAATTCTTAAAAAGGGGAAGATTTTACTAACGAAAGTAACTTTACTGCTAAACGTTGGCCTACGTAAAAAGGAGTCGGAACTTTTCTACCGTGGGAATCGGATCCGGACTCGATTCTCCGCCCAGCTCTAGGATTCTCCCGCTTTCAGGGTACTATTTTTAGACACATATAAGGCCCACTGCCCAATGCTCAGACGGGTCGGTATTTATCATCATTGGGTTGGTCAATTTGCAATCAATTTAGCGACACGAATCTTCACTCCGTGACGTCATTCTTTAGAACTCTTGGCGCATTCATCGTTGGTTTGAGCTCAATAAAAAAACACGTTTTGCTCTGTTTGTTTGATTCGGTCTCTTAATTTTTTATTTTTTTTGGGGGGTGAGTGGGTGGTGGTTGTGTTGGTAATATTTTGATGCCATGTCCGTTCTTCAAAGGACCAGTGTCGGTGGTTGTGTTTTGTTTTTTTGTTTTTTGTTGTTTTTTAATTGGGTTTTTTCTGTATGGGTTTCTTCCTCTTCTCCTTCTTCTCGTTCTTTAAAACTGGTAGTGATGTGTAGGAGGAGAAAGAGAAAGGGGGAATGATGAGGTTGGGGGAAGAGAGAGAGAGAGAGAGAGA